TGTCGAAAGAAATCTAAAAGACCACAATCTCCTTATAGAAAAAAGGATATCAAATTATAAATAAGTAGCATAATAAAATACAATATTTCCTAAATTATTAGTAAAGATGCCTTATTTAAAGTCGATAATTTAAGAAATATTTAATTTCGATACATGATTAAACAACAAGTTAAAAAAACAAGTGAAAAATTTAAAAATTACAATCATTTTATGCTACGTATAACCAAGTAGCACAATATTTGTATTATACATGAGTGTCGCCAGGTGAAAATGTACATTTTAAAACAACAATACTATAGCACACCGCAAGTACGGAATGTGTGACAGGTTATGCTAATTGATCAACATTAAATCGATTTTAACGTTAGGGTTGGATTGGAAGAAGTTAGAAAGGGATTTAGGCAAAACTTAAATCAAAATTATGAGTAGAATTTTTTTTCTTAAAGCACCATGAGCAGTTTCATAGGCAAAATTTTGAAATAGAAAAGGTTTATTTCTTAATTTTGTCGATCAACCTGTCACACATTCCGGACTTGCTAGCACACCACTGGTGTTTAACACCACATGTAGTATAACATAATCATTATAAAAACATGCATTTTTTTAAAAGCAACAAACAAATTTATGTTGTAACGTACACTGCATTTAAAATACCAGTGGTGCGTTTTAGTAAACTCGTTCTACAAATCTATTTTGTTTTGAATGCCATTTTCACCTGGCGACACTCATATGTATAATATAAATTATGGTACTTAGTTATACGTTACATGAAGTGATCAAAATTGTATCAGATATTTCGAAAGATTATTAGATATTTGTATTGTAAGTTTTAAATGTTTCATACATTGTTTTATTTCCTAATTTATCAAATAAGGTATTTCCGTGTACACTTCATTGATGCTAATAATTTAGAAATATCTAATTTCAATATGCATATTTTGTCTCTATAAGGAGATTGTGTTTTTAGATACCTTGCACTGTACGTACGTACGTGCAAGAAAGATATTCGCATCAGTCACACCTTTTAAATAAGACTGGTTAGGCAGAAATTTTACTTTGTATCATTTTAATCAAATGCTTTTAGCTCGCACGATAAACTTTTTCGAAACTTCAAAAATCAAATTCTGAATATTATTAAAGTTTCCGTATTCATAATATAGTACAAGACATATTTCTATAACTTGTAAAAACAGAAATATGGGTAAACTTGAAGATGATCTCACTGAACTCAAGCGTTGCTATAAAAAAGGGTTAATATCTAAGCGGGATTATGAAGAAGCTCGTAGAAAAAGACTTGGTGAGTTAGGAGAGAGCTTTATTTTATTTGTTAGTTATGAGACTAATAATTGACTTGTTATTTAATAAACCATGCAGGCCTCAATCCAGTAGATAAATCATGGTGGGAAAGACTGCGCGGTGGTGCAATGTCTCTTGGCCGTACGGCTTTAGTAACCCTGATTAATTCCATCCTTGGTCTTGGTGTTTTTGCCGGAAAATTAATCACATTTTAGCAGAAACACTGTAGCATTTCTTTACAATGATCAAACAGTAAAATTTTTTAACTGTGATTCTATTGCTTTTTCTCGGTTGGTATAGGATTTGTGCAATAATGAATCCAAATTTTTTCGCGTGTATGGAATTAAAAAAAAATATAGGGTGTGCGTGTTTTTTTTTATTAGCTGCAAATATATAAATTTATTCTCTTCAACTGCGCATAATTTAGAATCCACAAAAATTGGATCACTTATATTTTAAGTATAATCTTGTTAAATTGTCAATTACAATATATTTCAGAGATAACACCTGTAAAGGTGGTTATAAGAGATAAAATAATAATTCATTGATGTTAAGAGTTTGGATCCATGACGAAGTATTTGAGTGATCTCTCTAAATACTAAATAGCATTTTTTCCAAGCCGGTATAAAAAAAAAAATTATTTGCAGTAGAAAATTTGTAAATTGACAAATTTAATATATATATATATTTTTTTATTAATAAAATATTTTTAGCATAATAAACTTTATCAAATTATTATTATCATTTAAATATTTATATCATAATGACAAATGCACTTGGCCGCTTAAAACATTTTTTTGCTAATAAAATCTATTCATTGACACTTTTTGACCAGTTTTTTGTGAATTATTAAAACTGCAATACGTTGCAAATTTTGAATTGAAATGGTACGTACGTACGTACAAGGATGAAACGTCACACAATGTCCAATTTTTTTGGACATATATCCAATTGAAATTGGACATATGTCCAAAAAAATTGAAACCATCCCTGGGTACGTAGGAATCCTATTACGGCGCATTTGCGAACTACCTCAAAATTTGAAAATTTTGACTACTAATGTGTAAATATTGAGATAATCAACATTCCCCAAGTCATCATGCGTCATTTAATAAATTCCTATGTCTAATGAGTGTGGGAAAATGGGTTAGCCCGTGGGAAAGATGGGTTAGACGCGTTATCAGTACAGATCAAGGGTTCAAAATTTTTTTTCGGGTTTAACATTGATTGATTAATATATAATCTGGTAACTAAAATTTAATTTTGGTGACCAAATACTTGGATTTGGTGACCAATTGTCCGATTAATTTCGCAAATGCGCCGTAATTCTATGTATAAATGCAATATATAGTTATTCAATGATTTACTATCTTTTATAGACTGATTATAGTAAAACACTGAAAAGCTATTGACATTTTTAAACCTATTAAACCTTTTAGGCACAAAATCTATTATAAAATACCAGAGATTCTGTTAAGAAAAAATCCAGTATAATTTTTAATAATTAGAATCTTTTCGTTAATATTGTAATTTTTTTTGGGATCTTATGCACATAGATGGGCATCTTCTTATTGGCTGAAATGCAGTATAGATGGGCAAATTCCGATGATTAGTAATTTAAAGTTTAAATTCAATAAAAATTACCTAAGTCTAAATTAAAGTAAAAATTACTCAAAAAATTATGAAGTTTAAATTTTAAGTAAAAATCATTCGAAGTTTAAGTGAAAATCACCTGAATTTAAATCAAAAATTACTCAAGTTTAAATTGAAGTTTAAGCAAAATTCACCCAAGTTTAAATTTTTAGTTCTTGTATAGGTACAGTATCCTCGGAAAGTTTATCACGGTTACATAAAAACTTAACATAAATTTATGCACAAGTATAATACGTACGTACGTATACGCAAATTGTGTACGTAAGCTAATTACATTATTAATCATACGTATTAATATATCACATTAAAGAAAAAAAAACAACCAAAATTTTTTGTAACCGTGATAAACTTTCCGAGGATACTGTACATAGTTTTAATTTGTTCTGGTTTCTTGGCTTTAAAAGTATTTACTAACTTTTTTTTCAATACTTTTAATAATTGAACCCATCTGAAAAATTACAACCCAGGTGACCCGATAGGTGAGCCTGTGGGTTATCTGAGAGGATCATTGGGTCCACCCGGGTCATTGGGTTATATATGTTCCGCGTCGTTACGGGATTTAAGTCGATCCGGAATTGGCACGTGTTATTTCACCTATCGTTATGCAAATCATGAGACCAGACCTAAGCAATGTAATAAATTACTAATAATTATGTATCATGTAATTTATTAACTGTTAATAACAATAATAATAATTACATATTTTGTCAATGACGATAATAATAATTATTAATAATTACATTAATATTTAATATTTACATTGATTGATTTTTACATTGATATTTATAAAAACAATTCTTTTATCTCGTATGTTTTATTTTTTTTATTCATTATACTCGAATTGATTGCTATCGCTTTATTACATATTTTCTTCAACTCTTATAGATTCGCAAGAATATAACTTTATGATTCATGAAACCTTTAACCGAATATTAGAGACATTCATTAACAAAAGGGAAAACAAGCGAAGCTTGTTGGATAGAAGTCACTATAATGAAATTTTAAATATACTAAAAAATCCAGACCATTAGTGTAACACGAAGTTCAAATATTGAGCGGTTAATACTTTTAATGTTCATCGTATTGGTGCAACAGAGGAACTGCATCTGCTTAGAATAACTTGGGAATGCAAGTTTGTTATATAGAATTTTTACGAAATAATTTGTGCTACCCATCAAGCAACTGAGCACGGTGGCTATGAAAAAAACCTGAAAAAGGTAAATTTATGCTTGTTTTTAAAAAATAACAATAATAATAACTTTCTTATTAAATTTGGGTTAGATACTGTTATATTACCCAGCAGTTAGTTGAGACTGTAATTAATGAATGCAAAGTGTGTGTTACTCGACGTATTTCTAAAAGAGTTCCACCAATTGACCTATTGTTTCCGAAGGTTTTCTAAATCACGTTCAAGTATGTGTGTTATATTAACTTTAATAAATAACTTTATATAGTTGAACAAAATTTAAACTTTTCAGTTGATTCTCTTATGCCGAACCAGCTCAGTCTAAATCAGCTGAAGAAGCTGCCACGACGTTCCTTAATTTTTGTTCTATATACGGTCTCCCCGCAATTCTTGACAATGGAGGAGAGTTTGTTGGTAATACTTTTAAGGAAATGCTGAAGTTTTGACCAACAATAAAAATGGTACATGGTCATTCTCGAAACCCCGGTATCAAGGACTTATGGAGAAAGGTAATTACATCCTTGAAGTAAACTAGGAGTGTGGAAGGAAGATACAGGTATTCACAAAGAAACTTTAGAGGGTATGAATCTTAGGGGGATATTAATGTTTGTATAGTTGGAGATCCTACTTAAGTAATTATACATATTTATCATCATTTTGTTTTTTTATTTATACAGTCAAATCTGTAACTTTTATTATTAAAATTATGTAGATATGCATGTCAGATACATCCTCGTCTCGTACTATATTTACTTCCGGAAAAGCCTCATCTGACCACAGCTGTTGTCAAAGATGAAGAGGCAGGTGATTTTACCATAGAAGCAGGTGCTTTAATACTAGCGGATAATGTAAGTAATATAATATTTCATTGATTGTATTAACTATATCACATAAATAATTATATGTGAAGTTCGAGCATTTAATGTCACATGAATTTCAGTTTTTGCGATAAAGACTGTTACTGTTTCATAGCTTCATAAATGACAACTTGGTCAAAAATATCCATTTTATTAAATTCATCAATAGTGTAGATCCTTTAATTGAGTGAAAATGCGAATGGTGGTCGATATAATTAAAGAATATCACTTAGAGTAATATACAGATTTGATATTTTTTAATGCTATTTAAGGTTAGTTTAAGTTAATTTTTTATTTTATTAGCAAAATATTTTGATATCAGCACCAATTATATCCGGATTTGATTTATTTTTTGTGGTATTAGGCAAATATAAACCAGAAATAGGTCAGATAATAGCTGAACATATTGTAGGAATTTGCAAAAGAGGTGATGACAATATTAATCACTCTATGATACTGAAACACTTCAATGATATATTCGCTATGCAAGAACTTTCAAACTAATGGTTTTGTAGTATACAATATACAGATATTTAGTATGATACTATATACTATGCTCTATAATAAAATTAATATAAATAAGGATCTAATTAGAGTTAAGATTAGGCTAGGTTAGAGTTAGGGTTGGGTTAGAGTAAAACTTTACAAAGAATATTTTTATTAGTTATACAACAGAAATTACTCTAGTAAATTTTAAGATATCAAAAGATATGTACTATTGTATAGAGTGTACTAAAGATAATATTCTTTTTTTTATATAAAATTTTTTTGGTTTATTTTTTAGAGTTTAGATTAATTTTTAAGTTTATTTTAATTTATATATATCTTTATATATAATTTTAAATTTTTTATTTTTTTTGATAAAGTTTTGGTTATTTTTTATTATATTTTAAAAATAATAAGTTTTTTGCTTTTTTATTTTTAAATTATGTATTTTATATTTTGTATAAAGTAAATTATTTTAATTTTAACTATTTATTATCTAAACTTTTTAAAATTTCTTTTTTAGTTTTATTTAAAATTATTTTTATTTTTTTGTTTATATTATTTTTGTATTTTATTTTAATTTTTTTGTTTTTTTGTTTATTTTTAACTATATTTTGAAGATTTTGTAATTCATCACCATAGTGATTTATTGTTATCTCTAATTGACTAATTAAAATGCATGATCTGGTGTAATGTTGCATGATCAAAAAAGTTCAAAACAAATAGTCATTTTGTTAAAAATTATCTATAACTCAAAATTTTGCTTATAAAATCACTTTTTGTATTTTAATTAAAAAAAATTCTTGCAAAATTTTAGATTAAACTATTGTAAATGATACTAAAATAGATAATGCTAAAAATCACATGATAATATAATGATCTTTTATATAAGCAAACCTAATATAATGCTAAAGTGCTTATAGAATCCTAGCATTACTAACTAAAAATTTTACTATTAATATTAAAATTAGAGTTTAGATATAATCATATTTTAATTACTCTAGTGAAATTAGATATAATATATATAAAATAA